CCCAGATTAGTATTGTCTGCAAATTTACTAATGAAAGACTCAATCCCCTCATCCATGTCATCAATAAAATACTGAACAGGACTGGCCCCAGCACAGCCCCCTGAGGGACACCACTGGTCACTGGCCCCCAGCTGGATGCAGAACCATTCACCACCACTCTCTGGTGCCATCCAGCCAGTTCCTAACCCAGCACAGAGTGCTCCTGTCCAAGCCTGGGCTGCAGCTTTTCCAGGAGTGTGCTGTGGGAGACGGTGTCAAAGGCTTTGCTGAAGTCCATACAGACAACCTGCATCCACCAGGTGGGTCACCTGGTCATAAAAGGAGACCAGGTTGGTCAAACACAACCTATCCCTCCTAAACCCATGCTGGCTGGGTCTGATACCCTGGCCATCCTGTATGTGCTGTGTGATGACACTCAGGATAAACTGCTTCATTACCTTTTTGGGTACTGAGGTCAGGCTGGCCTATAATTACCAGGATTCTCCTTCCCACCTTTTTTGTGAATGGGTGTCACATTGGCCAGCTTCCAGTCAGCTGGAACCTCACCAGTAAGCCAGGACTGTTGGTAAATGATGGAAAGTGGCTTCACAAGCTCCTCTGCCAGCTCCTTCATCACCCTGGGATGGATCCCATCTGGTCTCATAGATTTATGAATATCCAAGCATCTCAGCAGTTCTCACTGCCTCCTCCTGGACAACAGGGGGACCATTCTTCTCCCTGACAATATCTACCAACCCAAGAGGACAGCTGTCCTGAGGACAAGCCATCTTCCCTCTAAAGACTGAGGCAGAGAAGACATTAAGCACCTCTACCTTCTCCTCATCTGCAGTTACTAAGTTCCCTCCCACATCCAGTTGGTCTTACCCTTCTTTTTGCCATTAATATATTTGCAAAAACATTTTTTATTATCCTTTACAAAAGTTGACAAATTAAGTTCAAACTGAGCTTTGATCTCCCTAATTTTTTTCTTTCGTGCCCTAGCAACCCCCTTAAATACTTCCAGAGAGACCTGACCATCCTTTTGAAGATGGTAGAACCTCTTTTTATTCCTTAGTTCCTTTGAAACCTTGTTGCCCATCCAGGCTGGACATTTGCCTCATTGACTCATCTTTTGGCACACAGGGACAATCTTCCTGTGCCCTCAAGATTTCCATTTTGAAGCACACCCACCTTTCCTAGACTCTTTTGTTAAGAGCTGCTTCCCAAGGAGCTTTCTGAATAACTCTCCTAAATAGGCCAAAGTCTGCCCTCTGGAAGTCCAGTGTAAAAGTCTTATTGATGTTCCTGCTGATTTCACCAAATATTGAGAACTCTATAATTTCATGATCAATATGTCACAAGAAACCTCCAACAATCACATCTCCTGCCAGCCCATTTCTATTTGCCAACAACAAATCTAACATAGTCCCTCCCCTGCTGGGCTCACTCACCAGCTGTGAAAAAAAGTTGTCCTCCACAGACTCTAAGAACTTCCTTGGACTGCCTCTTTACTCTGCCCTGAAGTCCCTTTTAATTGCCCTGATGCTCCTCTTTTCAATCTCATCACTGCCAGCCTGGAGTATCAGCAGTGGGTAATAATCAGAGGGCTGAATCAGCCCAGAAAGTCTCTCAGTGATATCCTGTACCCAGGTTCCAGGGAGGCAGCAGACCTCACTGTGGGATGGGGCTGGTTGACGTAGGGGGTCTCTGTTCCCTTCAGAAGGGAGGCACGTACTATGATCACCCTTCTTTTCTTTTTGATGTCAGAGGTGGTGATCTGTCCTACAGATGAAGCATAATTGGGAGACTCACTGGGCAGATTATTTTCTTCTACATCATCTGTCTGGCTCTGTAGATCCAAGGCCTCATACCTATTCTGAAGTGGCACCTGGGTAGGTGTGGGGGTCAGGAGGAATTTTTATTACCTCCCCAAGTCGGAACCCATTTCCACTCATCCACAAGAATTGGCCAAGCATCCTATTGCTGACAGTGGGAAGCATGGGGGTACTCTGACTCCTGGTGGGTCTCCCTCAAGGATGGAAGGGCAGAACTCCACCAATCTGTTTCCCTTTAACTTTCCCTAATACTCCTTAGTCTTTCAACTTCCTCCCTAAGCTTGGCCACCAGCGAAAGGAGATCATTCACCTGTTCACACAGTGGGCATGCCTCTTCTGCAACACTCCCTGGTAGCACTGATAAGCTGAAATACTCTGTGCAGGAAGGGTCTGGACAGACACATCCTTTTGGGAGGGTTCTACTTGGCTACCTATACTTTTACTAACTGCAGTTTTTGATCATGTAAAAACCATTACTAACAAAAAAACCCAAAACCAACCAACCAACAAAAACACAGCAAACAACAAAGTAAAAACCCCATTAGCAGGAGGAAACCTGCAACCCTGCCTGCTTGACCTGCCTGTGAGAACTGCCATGCAAACTTCTGTGCCAGGCTTCTGTTCCCCGTGCTCCCTAGAGCCCTCTTTTAATCACCCTGCCGCTCGCCAGAGGAAAGCTCCACCCTGTGCCTGCTTGGCTAACAAGAACTTGCTACATTACCTAGACCTGTTTGCAATAGACATCTCATTTTTCATCTGTGTGATGGGTTATCTGCCAGCATAGGCTATTGTTGTGTGTAATGGTCTTGTTCTTGAATCATCCTTCTTCTCTTGGCTGTGACTGACAGAGCCACAGCCCCAACTGTTCCTGTAATATGGAAAAAAGCAAATGTGTTATGCTGGAACAGGAAGGGGAAGTGCATGTTCTAGAACTGTGCACCAAAGTCTCAGGAGAACTAGTTTCAATTCTTCATTTCAAAGACATCCTGTTTAGGCTACAGATAGCTCACTTCTGGTTTTCAGGACCACATTTCATTCCTGATCTGTGAAAGAACAGTGCTGGCATGCCCTGACTTGCAGAGGTGTAGAGAGGGTGAATTCTGAAAGGTTGTGAGGTGTTTTGGGGCTATCCAAACAGTGTGGTTTGTTGTCAGTACGCATTGGTTTAGTAGCCCTTGGGAGGTGGTGCTGGACATGTTACCCAGCCTGTTGAATCCCTTACTCTCATGGAGGAACTTCCCTGGTCTGCCAGTCCTTTTCCAGCTGCTGGCAGCACAACACCATTGCTCACAGGAGGGATGCTGCCATGGTGCTGTTGTGTGCTGCTGTGAAAGTTGCTGAGGTGTCCTTACGCCCTACAGTCAAATGGACAACATGGCAAAGGATAGCAGTCTCCTTCCTGCTCTCTGCTTATCACTTCTTCCTGGAAGGGGCTGGTAACCAGGACCCCCCACAAGGACCCTTTCTGGAAGTTGATAGGAACATCAAACTTCCCTCCATGTACAGTCCTCTGGCACTATCATACCAGCTTTTGCTCTTTCAAACACCCCCACGTGACTTTGTTCTGTGCCCAAAGCACGTCATTAGCACCAGTTCAGGCTATGACTTTGCAGAACTCTTGCACAACGCTCTTGTCATTTCAAGCACTTTGAACTTAAAAACAGATGCAGAATAAACATAAATTCCAGAATGCCACAGAGAGCAAGGAAAGACCAAGTGTTTTAAAGTATGGATACAGTCCTACACCAGCCCTCTTGTTCAGCAGGGTAGGAGTGTGTGCTGCCTCCTGTGCTCATGGCACCTCTGCTGTGGAATTCAGAGTCAAAATCCTTCCAAAGTGTCTTTGTTTGAAAAGACAGGTGTCTGCTAAGGAAGGCAGAAACCTCCCTTGAAATTAAAAAACATAAACCACCCTTCCACCTCCAAATTTTTATAATCTTGAAATCAAGGGGCTCACTGGCAAAGATATGGGAGTAGGAATAATAGTTCTTTACTACAAAAATTAAAATAAAAATGCAGTAGTACAAAAAAAACCCAAACCCACTGACAGAGTCCAAATACAACCTGACACCCTGTTGGTCAGGGTTTTGGATCCTGTAGAAGGGTGTAGTTTTCCTCTGAAGGCCCAGTGGTGGTGTTGATGGGTCTGGTCTCTCCTCTGGGAATCCAGTAGAGAAAGGCTGCCTGTGGTGTTTCAATTCTCAGGTTATACCCAGGTAGGAATGCTTGGCTCCTCCTCCTGGATGGAGCATCTCACAATGGGATGATGTAATTTTATCAGTCATGCAGTGAGACTCAATGGCCCATTAACAGAAGATCCCCCTGGAGTTCTGAGTGATGGGCCATGGAAGAGCTAAAGAACACTGCTCCACCTGGTTTTAACAGATGGCAGTAGAATACATACTTCTGGTTACATCTTGCACTGCACCCCAAGACAAAAAGCTGCTCTGTCACTGCCCTCCTCAGCTGTGCATGGGAGAGAAATTACAATGACAGATTCGTGGGCTGAGGTAAGGACAGGGGAAGATCATTCACCAGTGACTGTCACAGGCAAAACAGGCTCCACTTGGGGAAATGAACTGAATTTATTACCAGTAAAATCAGAGCAGGATAATGAGAAATAAAATTGAATTATAAAATACCTTCCCCCTATGCCTTCCTTCTTCCTGGACTTAACTTCGCTCCTGATTTTCTCTACTTCCCCACCAGCAGTGCAGGGGGATGGGGAATGGGGGCTGGGGTCACTTCATCACCAGTTGTCTCTGCTGTTCCTTCTCAGGGGGAGGACTCCTCACATCCTTCTCCCTTGGGGTCACAACTCCTGCCAGCAAACCTGCTCCAGCATGGTCTGCTCTGTCAGTGGGCCACAGGAGCCTGCTCCAGTGTGGGGTCTCCACAGGGTCACAGCCTCCTTCAGGCATCCCCCTGATCCGGGTTGGGATCCTCCACAGGCTGCAGGAGGATCTCTGCTCCCCCACAGACCTCCATGGGCTGCAGGGGCACAGCTGCCTCAGCAGGGGAATTTCTGCTCTGGGGCCTGGAACATCTCTGGAACATTAACTGCCCTGGGTATCTGCAGTCCTGCAGGTATCTCTCTCACATTCTATCTATCTCACATTCTCATTCTCTCCTGGCTGCAGAATAGTTTTTCCCCCTTACCTATGCTCTCACAGAGGCACTACCACCATGGCTGGTGGCTCGGCCTTGGCCACTGAGGAGTCCCTGGCTGGCACTGGCTCTGTCGGACAAGGGAAAGCTTCCAGCAGTTTCTCACAGAAGCAACCCCTGTCGCTCTGGCCAGCTACCAAAACCTTGCCATGCAAACCCAGTACAGCAGGTACCAGTGTCCCTTCAAAGAGCAAAGGAAAATGAAGAGACAGGAGTGACACTTGGAGCTGGGTGGGCAGCATGAAGGGACTTGGCTACAAGAAGATTTCAGCCCTGTGAATCAGCATTTTGACCATATCTGATGTACTGTACGTTTACAACCAGCTGACCCTGTGCTGTTCTCTGTCCTGGCTGTGTGGCATGTGAAAGGTCTGCTATAGCATTTCTGCTTATGGATCCAAATCCTGAAGTGCCCTGGGTCTGTGTTTTTTGTCTGTAATGATCATTTTTCTTCCAGCACTGCTATAGGCACTGTAACATGAGGGAGTGAAAGCTCAAAACATTGTGCAATTATTTGTAATCGCTACTCCCCTGCTTTCATCAGCATCATTTCAGCACTTTTCCAGTTGTCCCTCTTACTGACACAGATCAGTGATACAATTTGTGTTCCCTCTCCGTATTCAACCAAAGATCTTCCTTTACCAAACCTCAGGTATTTTCTCACATCTTCAACTTACTATACGGTGCAAGATTCTTCACAGCATAGAGCTTTAATGTTCTTTGAATGCATTTAGGGCTTGTGAGTTAGCAAACTCACCCAAAGGATCAAGTTAGCTCACAGGTGAGGGACCGGTAGCTAAACCTGGCTCACACTGTGAGTGACCAGTAGCTGGAAAGAGTTCTCCTTGACTGTTGGAGCTCTATGTTTTGTTGCTTTTTGTCCTCACACAAGCCTGAGATCTCATGTCATCTGGGGTATGAGAGCCTGAGATGTTTACCAGCATTTCTACCCACAGTCTGTGTTCCCTGATCCATTTTCCCTGCTACACCCCTTGCAGCACAGGGATCTTCAGTGTTTAATGCAGCCATCTCAAGGGGCTGGTGGGCAGGAACAGAGCATCAGGTGGTTGAGCCAGAGGAAGGAGTGGCATCTGCAGGGAGTCAGATGTGTGGATCTACAGGCTCATGTTGTTTGTGTAAAATCATAATCCTCTGGGGATGTGAAATGCTAGCTGGAGGACTGAGATCATCTATCTGAAGAGTGCTGTGGGAATAGCAAATGTCCTCTGGCTGGGCTGAGCTCAGAGATTTTTTGCCAGTAGGAGGGAAGTGAATTTTTTTAAGATTTTGGAATATTGTCATGGCTGCCAAATAACACCAGCAACTGAGTTGGATCGTGTGCATAAGCCAGAGCACTTGTGAAGACTACTCATTTCTCCTTCTACTCATTTCTCTTTCTACTCATTTCTCCTTCTTTCAGTCATGTGTTGTGGCTTGCTGGCACTTGGCAGGTTCTAGTGATTCAGTGCCCAGCCCTGTTGTGCTCTCCAAGGGATTTGTGGTGCTGGACCCCCCTCAAGCCTGGCAGCCAGCTGCTGGCACACTGATCTCAGTGCCCAGCCCCTGGAATTACTGATCTTGCAAAAGCATCTCTGCTGAGAAACCAAGCTAGTTAGCAATAAGATCATAAATAGGAATCCAATATAAAAAATGCAGAATTTTGTCAGCTGTTTTTCTGTTTTCAGCAGAAAGCAGCCCCTAGGCAGCTGCCAGTGCAGAGCCTGAGATTGTTGCTTAGGAAGGAGAGATTGTGTCTGGCGTGCTCCCTGGTGTGACTGTTCCTACAGTCTGACCTCCAGCAGTGTCTGCAACATCGCAAGTGGAATTGCTTCATGCAATAGGTATATCCATGGCCTAGGGAATATTTCACCCAGAGCAATTTTATCTTACCTTCATTAAAAAAAAATCATCACAAGAAACCTGTAGGCAGGAAAGCAGTGTTCCCTTTTTATGGAAGATGCTTTGATGTCATGAGCAGCAGGAGAGGCAGCAGCCGGAGCACAGCACCATGTCTGCAACAGCAGTGTCATTTAGCTCTGACAATGTCTCACTGTGTCCTTCCCTCTTGCAGCTCCTGTGGAGCCGTCTCTGAGTTGTGGTGAGATGTTTGTTTTACCCATGGCACAGCCAAGAGGAAAAAGTGACCTCTGTGAACAGCAAGATGTGGGGGAGGGAAGGCAGTGGGGAACCAGGCTCAGCCCCATCATCCCTCCTCGAGTTGATGCAAATCCTGCTTGGCTGTTGCTGGAATCTGCTCACTGCTGTGGTAACCGGCTTGGTAAACTCAAGCTTTTCATAAGCTCTTTAGATGTGGTGTGACAGGTATGTCAGAAAAAATTTTAGACTGGAAGATCATGTGCAGGTTGCTAGAGGTTTTCTGTAGGCTGGGGGGTTGGTCCATGCAGGTACCAGGCAAAGAAAAGGAGAGGTACTCTTCAGACTGAATTTTAAATAGGGTGTCAGGGATTAGAGAGGCCAGATGTTTTTTAAGCAAACATCCTCTATCCTGTTTGAAGCTTTTCTGTTCACAGACAGAAAAATTAGAGTTGTGTCTGCAGTCTGGGCTCTTGTATCCCTTCTGCTTTAGGATGTGATGGGGAGGGAATTCAGGTGAGGCAGCGGCAAAGTGGATATTATCTCCTCCTGAGGAGCACAGTGTGAGTCCAGGGAGCTGGATGGCATTCTGTTGTGAGGAGGTAGAGATTTAATAACCCAAAATTAAAACTTTAGTAAGTAGAGGTAGCAGTTACAAACAGGCTGCCTGTTGTTGGAAAGAGGCACCAAAGAGTTGCCAAGGCCTGCAGTGAGACAACGCTTTAAAACTTGCAGTGTTAAGCTGAAAAGGGGTAGGTTTAGATGAGGTACAAGTATGGTAAAGGTGGTGAGACACTGGCCTGGAGAAGCTGTGGATGCCCCACCCCTGGAAGTGAGCAAGGCCAGGTTGGATGGGGCTCTGAGCAACCTAATGATAGGTGTCCCTGTACACAACAGGGGGGCTGGAATAGGTGATGTTAATGTCCACTCCAACCCAAACCATTTTGTGACTCTACTGTTCCATGAGGTGTGAGTGCTCAGCACATCTGAGAATGAGGTATCAACTATTCACATGTTCACTGCTTTTTCAGAAAATAGATCTAACAAGAAGCTACAGACTTATGTTAATGTCAGGAGGGGAGCAGGTTTCACCATTTCAGTGTTGAAGAAACCAATCACTTCTCCAAAATGGTTGTTATTTGCATTTGTCACTTTTAGTTGCTACTTGTAAGAATTCTCAGTATGACCTTGCATACTTTTGGTACCTTTAATTCCCTCTTTGTGAGGCCTTCATTTTAAGTGTTTGCTCCCAAAGCTGTTGGGAGTGTGGCAGAAAACATGCTTACAAGCAAGATTTTCTCACACGCTGTTTCAGCTTGGGTGACACGGATTGTGAAGCTTCTCAGGATGTTTTGTGAAGAACATCTCATAAAGGGACAATGTTGGTTGATTTCATTACAGTGGTCGAATTTAAATTCTTGTGGCACGTTTTACTGCTGAGTAATACTGCATACATACATCACAGGCATGCAACGCAGTACTTAGTAAAGAATTTGTTAGTTTTGGAGCTACAGACTTGCAGCAATCATTAATTAATGTAAGAGAATGGATTTTTTTTTCCTTAGAGTGTAATTTTTATGGGTTTAAAAGAAAGTTTCCTGAGAAGTAACTCCTAAAATGTAGCTACTCTTGAAAGTAACTCCTTTAGCTTGAATTTTACTTTAAAGGAAATAAACCAAGGGATAATGTCTTGCAGACTTTTTTAAGTCCAAATTGTTCTTCCTCATTGTATTTCCCGATAAAGCTTAGTTTCTTCAGAAAAATTTTGCATTTATTTAAGGTTTGACATGAATTTTGCCTTTGACTGAAAACTGACTTGTAAATGTTTTTTTAGGGTCTAGCAGTTACAGCTAGTTGTCATTTGTGATCAGCTTCAATTTCTCTCCTTTCTCTTGTTTTGCCTACTGTTACCTCTGCTTAGTTCTATCCTTTTTTTTTTTCCCCTTACCTTTTCTCTTCTGCATTTTCCCACTTTTCCAGTGAAGTTTCCTGTTTCTCCTTCAGTTACTGCCTATGGTATTTTTCAAAAGCATAATTTGACCAATGATAATAATCTTTAGGGTTAAAGCAGAATAAGCAGAGTCCAGAACAGAGGTCTGGAGGGTAAGAGGTACATGATGTGAAGAAGAGTGTTCAAGATGACAAGGAGGCCTTATTGTCAGTCTGGAGGGTAAGGCAGCCCTGCAGATTCTGGAGGTGGAGCAAGAAAATGTCTGATACTGGCCAGAAAACTGGAGAAATGAAGAGGAGGGATGAAAAGGGGGAAGAGGATGGAATGGGGCAGAAATTGTAAAGGCTGGACATAAGGAAAATAAAAGGTTCACCAGAAGAGGGAAGCAGAGCAAAAATCAATGTTTCTCGCCTTTTACCAATTTGAAATCAAGTCCTGCCGGACATGCAAATAAAGAAAGAGAATTAATGGCATGATAAAAGCTGGTATGCATCAGGCCCTGATGCTGCCATCATAATGATTGCCTTGTAGCTCTTTTACTAATTCATACACAGACATAATATTCTTGTCTCCTTGTCCTACCAAAAGAGTGTTGTGGTTTTATCCCCCATAGCTTGAGGCATTTGAGTGTCCAAGTTAAGGCAGAGCTGGCTCAGGATCTCTGCAGAGAAGCAGGTTCCTGCAATGGTGCAGTGAGATCACTGTAGGACCTGGAGGAGAGAAACTTCCATTGTCCTGTTCCTGCTTTAGGAGAAAATGGTGGGAATTTTCAGGATGGCTGTGTCACACTTTAGGTAAGATACCATTATTTATCAAGGCTGTATTTTCATGAAAAGAAAATAGCATGATTCTGGGCAGATTTTAGTAATAAATGCTCTTTCAATTACTAACTGATTATATCTGATAATTTGCCTTCTATAATTTTACTGAGCATCAAAGCAATGCTCAATGGCCCATGCTTGTGTTCTGCTTTTTTAACTTTTCTGATTTCTAAAATAGCTTTATTTTTAGCCCCTGTAACTTCCCTGGAGTTCTAAAATGTATTGAGTAGTTACATCCAGGGTGCAGAAAATGCCTGGCTGTTTTTTTCCAAAACACCTTAGTATGTGTTATCTGGTATTGCATATCTGAAAATGTTCATCATTAACAGGAGTATTAGGATAAGAAAAATTTCACTGTTGTCAGAAACCCTGAAAGTAACCATTTTGCTTCTTTGTAGATGAAACCCAAAATACTAGTGAGTATTTTTGGCTTTTTCACATCATTATTGACAGATTTATTATGCTTCTTTCTTTCTGGACCACTGTGGTTTAATTTAGTTATGATTATGTCTTGAAACTTGTTTTTTGTTGTCTATAACTTGTTTCAGCAAGCCTTACACTCTGGTTTAGTCTAAAAAATCAGAGGAAAATTATAAAGAAATTTCCTTTATGTTAATTTTCCTTCTTTGCAATCTCCTCTGTAACCCTACTTCTCTTGCCAGGCTTATACGTGCTTCAGTGATTTATTAGTTATTTAGCTGAAAACATTTTAGGAAATGTTTCTGTATTATGATTATTGCTAATGAGCTGTGTACTAAACAGAAGTTGTCCATCTGTGGTCTTCTTATCTGCTTTCAAATTACGTTGGAAAATTATATCATCAGAAAACTTGAGGACAGATTATAAACACAGCTTGCTTTTGTTTAGGAAGAACAGGTACTCTTGCTTCTGAACCCTTCAGAAAAATCTCATCACAAAAGCAGGTCCCTGGATGGCAGCTGAACTCTTGAAAATCTGTTCCTTCAGGCTTTCTTTCCATCTGTTGCTCTACTGGAACAATAATCCAAGGCTGACCTAATCTCAGAGCTGCAGTAGACAAACTTTGCAACTGAATACTCTTGTTCCAAATGATTTCTAATTGTATATTTATGCCATCAATTACACATTATCTTACTTTGGGACATGCCAAAGCCATTTCAAATATTGTAAATTAGCATGATGTCCATAAGAAAAAGATTGCTGTGTGAGGTAATGTATCCCTGCAGCCAGCACTTGTCCTGGTGGCTTAATGCTTAGGAGTGAGGCTGTGTGAGCTGATGGGCTTCAAATTTCTATTGGGCATCCCTTGGCCAGAGCAATTGAGAATGACCCCTTTTGTCCTGTCTGTTATTATCAGGCAGCTCTGGAAAATGAGCACTGTTGAGTGAAAAGAAAGCAGCAGATGACATTTTGTTTTCTGCATAAACTAGTGTATGGGATCTTTGTTTTTCAGATGTGGTTTTCAAGAAGATGTGCTAATACTGCTGCTATTCTATCTGTAGCTCTTTTGTTCAAGCCTGAACATAGATTTGTGGGAATTGGGATGTCCATTTATATTAGTGAGCTCTTCCTTTGTAAAATTCCATGGATACCTAATATATGAGTATGTATATTCTGAATAAGGTTGTTGTGGGTTTTTTTTTAATATTACTGTAACACTCCTTTTCTGAAGCATAATCTTATTTCTATAAAAAAGAGATGGCCATATTTTCAGAATAATAACATCTGAAAACTTTTGCTTGTGTGCTGAGGTTACATGTGCTCTCGATAAGAACACTCACTGTTTTAACCCAGCAGTGAGCATGGGGCAGGAACTCCTCTCTGTAGAGAGCAGTTGATAAACTGTGATTTAAACCAGCATCACACAGCATTGGATCTGTTTCCAGTGCTATCACACACAGGTCTGGAAATCTTCTGACTTTGGACTGTCTTAGGCATCCTCATGGCTGTTTTCCACAGCTGACCTGAAAGCTCTTGTGCATTGCTGCTGTGCCAGTGAGACCTGGAGGCTGCCAGATGAGTGACCCTACATTGTGTCAGTGAACAGTAACAGGAGAACTGTGCCCACAGAGTGAGGTTTGAAAGTGTCTGCATACAGGGTTTTGTTGACATTTTCATGGGTGATTTGAGGATCATGTGGGATCGAAGAGTCTCAGCTGGACTTTTGAGTGTTCCAGCAGCCTGACTAGGTGGATTTGTGTACTCTAATTTTTGATCATCCAGTTTTGATCCATGTCAGTTAGGAGGCCAGTCTTTATGTACAGTCACTTAGGAGGCTTCTTTTTAGTCAGAGCAGGAGACAGGAGTGTTATTTGAGTTATTCTCATAGTGCATCCTGTGTAGGCATCAGTAGCCTCAACTGGGTAAATAGTTCTTGCTGAATAAATGATACATCATCTTTAGGGCTGGTTTGGTTTTTGTTAAGGTTTTAAAAGCCGCTAGAGTGATGTTCCAAATGCTCACTTGTTTCATAAATGAAGAAACAGCAATAACACAGGTCATATTCTGCCAGCTGGGTGCTGGTAGTTTCAAAATGTCAGATGCCAAGGTTGTGAACATGATGTATGAAGAAGGTGCTAATGAAGTGCAGGGAACACTTAATGTTCCTTCATTTCTGTCTTCCCCAAAAAGTCTACATTGCTGCACAAGTTTACTGCACCCTGGTACATCATGATCATCGAACTAGCTGTCCTTCCTTGCAGCTTCTGTGTATGCCTGCCAGCTTGGGGCTTCACAATCAGCTCAGCTCCAGCAGAGTCCTTGGGCCCTGCTTGTGGGGAGGTATCACCAATATACAGAGAGGGGATGGGTGGGCAGGCAGATGCACACTCAGGCCAGCTGCAGACCTGTCTCTGAAATGTCTCACACCCCCCTTCTCATCCATTAACCTCTTCTCAGCAGTGCAGTCTGGACTGGCACAGCTAAATACAGAACTGTGGGAATCCTGTTTCCCACACAGGGACTGACCTCAGCAGTGTCCCTATATGGATATACTGGAATTACTTGGCAGTCCAGCAGTGGCTTCCTTAGAAGGGTAGTGAGGGGAAACAACTTGAAGGCAGAAAAACAACTTCCCCCTGTTCCTACTGGTACCAGTCAAGCCCAGCAGGTCTGGCCCCACGCCCTGTAGCTGCCAGTGGAGTCCCCAGGCCAACAGAGTGTGTCAGTGGGCTGGTTTGGTGGCCAGGCTACATAGAAGGTTGTTACCAGGACTTTTCAGTTCCATTATTTCTGTTTTACATGCTGTTCTTTATGACACTGTGATTCTCTTCCCTTTCTTTGATGTTTCCCACCATACTGGTACTGTTTACTGCAAATACTTGAGCTAACTAACAGTAAATTCCTTGCTAATTTCTCTGGGGTGGAGATCTGTTGCTTGACAATATACTGGCTCATGTATATAATTACCTGTGCCATGATGGGCTCTTATGCATCAAGAGAACTCTTGTAACTCTCTAAATGGACAGGGGATCTTGACAAAGACTTTTTGCAGTCCGTAGGTTGGCGAATCCTCATGTATATTGCCATTCACCTCTCAAAGAATACTTTGTGAGGCGTGAATTATACAAATAAAGATTGCTTCTTCCCTAGTAGATCATATTTATTTGTGTTTACTAATTTTTTTAATCAGTTTCTCAGCACTGAAAAACTCAGTTCTACTGTTCCTCTGGTCTTATTATTGTTTGTTTTACCTTTTCCTGTAATACTTAGGCTCATTTGAGTGATAGATCCCTTAATACAGTTAATAAAGCAATGCATTTGAGTTTATGTAGGTCTCCTGGGTGAAAGCTGCCTGTATGTATTATAACCTCAGATTTTGACAGGTTTTGGAAGAAGGGTCTTCTACAGATGTTTCAGTTTGAAGCAGTTCCTTGGAGCTGCACTTTCAAAAGTACCTCAAATTCAGAAGTTACTCAAGGCATATCCCTAATAAATATGAATGCAAAAAAAGAAATTCATTAAAGTTTCTTCTGCTTTAAAATGAAGGATTTTGTCATAAGTAATACTTGCTGACAACTGCAGATACCTTTAGAGTATCAAATAGGGTATATTTCCAAATAAAGTGATATTTAAGCTCTGAATGGGGCTTGCTTTTAGGCTGCATTTGCCACAAGTGGTGGTAGCAAGGTAATACCATCAGTGAATTGCAGTTTGTTGATAATAAACTTGTGAAAATAACTGGAAGTAACTGAACTCCTCTTTTGTGTGCAGCTGTAATTGGAAGAGGATTTTACAAGACTCTTTAATGTAGTTGGAATGTGTGTGTAATCTTTTGACCTTGTTCTTAGTTTTTGATGACTATGGCATGTTAAGTGCTGATAATTGGGTTTGCTCTAGGCTGAAACCTGACCTGCTCTCTGTAGAGGAGAAGATCAGATCTTCTATTGGAAGAGGCACTCAGAGGGGCTACCTTGGAAGTTGCTGGGCCAGGGCTGCTGAGAGTAAAGATCTCTAAAATACGGCAATTACTTTGGAAGGACTTGCTCTCCTAGGGACTGCTTTTCTTTCAGCCTAGTTTGAATTGGACTTTTCACCCAAAGGTTTTTGTCCTCCAGATTTCCTTTGCTGTGCCATCTGGTTTGCCTCATAACTCAGGTTATGTGACCTGAGGTTATTGTGAGAGCTGCCTTGTAGCTTCACCTGGTGGAATGTGAGTCCTGGGTATGACTGCAGGAGAAAGGTGGTTCTCACTCTGCCCTGGGAAGGGGAGACAACGCTCTTTGTTTAAGCCATGTGCAAATGAAGGGAGTGTCTACTACCTCTATGGAAGGAGTATGAAGCAACCATAAACAGTAGCAGGAAATGGAGCCAAAATCAGTGCAATAGATCAACTTGCGCTCTGTATTTCAAGCCATCCTTTTCTGTCTGTCTCAAACAGTGTTGCTGCAACTGATCTTATTTTAAGCTTTTTGTGTGGGAGGAGTAAAACTGCTTAAATGTTTCTGAGTAGTTACACAGTACAATATTGTTAGTGCTGCTTTTCCCATTCCCACTGTGGTCCTTGACAGATATTAAGAATACAAAACATGGGTCCAGCTAGGAAATGCCAGACCAACAGTCCCTCCAGCTCAGTATCCTATTCCTGCCAGCAATTAACAGATACCTGTGTATCTTTGTCTAAACTTTTCCTAGCCTCCCACCATCTATTTTCAGCTTATGAGACTTTCTAGCCATAAATCTTGCTTGTTAAATGAAGAGTTGCAACAAACTTTATTTTCTCTTACCTTTTAGAACTAAAAAAGCAAAGAAGGCACCTGCTTCTCCAGCCAAGGAAGAGAAGCCCAAATTAACCATTTTTGAAGAGGAGGTGGATCCAAATGAAGGACTCTTTGGCCCAGAAAAAGATTTCTCAGCAATTGGTCTCAGAAGAAAGATGAAAGAGAGTAAATCTGTTCTATATTTGTATATACACAGATTGTTTTATCTAAAACAGTAATATATAATATAATTAATATAATATAATATAATATAATATAATATAATATAATATAATATAATATAATATAATATAATATAATATAATATAATATAATATAATATAACTGGGCCTTTAAATTACAGTGATGCATAGTATACAGGGTGAATAATGACCTTGAAATGTTAAGGCAAATTTTCAGCTTAGCAGAAACATCTAGAATCATTCAAAAAGAACAAATTAAACCTGTAGCCCCCATAGCTGTTCTCTGTAAACATTTTGAACTGGGATATTAAGTTCTGTGGGAGCTGTCTGTCCCACAGTCACTCAGGCCGCACTAACAAGAGTAATGTGACCTACTTTTGAGTGCTAGGAAAAAGCAGATTTACCAAGTCCTTAGAGTGCAGAGTATGTGCACTTTGTGGACTGGAGGTCTTTGGGAAAAAAAATAATTGTCTATATGATCTGTTTTTTCAACCCAACTAGCCAGATTTACTAGTTAGTGTTGGTGCAGCTGTTGTGTAACATAGCATGATTTAAATACAGCAGCTTCTGATTCCCCTTTCTAGATCTGAAGTTATTTGAAGACCCAGACCTTGGTGGAGTGGTGAGACTGGGCGACTCACTGCTGCTGCCAGCTGCCTGTGAGCACAGCAAGGATGTGCTGAGCAGGGATCCTGAGGAGGACACTGAGGAACTGCTGAGGTACTCATCTCAAATCTGTCATATGGGATGAAGGTGGTCTGAGATGTTATTTAATCTTGAAAGAGATGAATTTAGGGACAAAGCTTAAATACTCAGAAAGCAAACTGTGAATCAATACTTGTATTGACAAGTAAAATGAAAGATGTGTGTTGTGGAGCTTGGACATCAAACACGTGAAAAAGGAAGTTAGGAAGGCCCTTTGAGAAAGGTGGGGTGCAAGGACTTGTTCTGTGACTCCAGAGGAAGAGCCTTGAAGGCCCAAGGTGTGCTGTCTTGTTCTTGTTTTCTAACATGACACTTCTGCTTTCTGCAAACAATCCACAGGGAACCCGACTTCCATTGTGAAAAGTGGGGAGCAAAGCCCAGAGGTAAAAAGCAGTTCAGCTTCAGGGTCCTGAAATCAGAGGATCTTGCCACAGGAGGAATGATTTTCATGCTGATGGCTCACGGGCTTCTGTGCATGCTTCCAGGAGGGATCCTGTGCATATCTCCACAGCAGTAAAGGACTCTTTATCACCCTGTATTTAATTTTTAATCTAGTGGGAAGGAGGGCTGGAGCTCAGAGTTGCAGGAGGGTATAATACATTGCTTCTCCCTTGGTAGTGTAGCACTGGAACACATCAGCCCATAATGTGTTTATCCCTGACATCTCTCTCACAGGGCTGGTTTGCCTGCACTGATAATCCTCAAGAGATCAAGCAGGGAACCAGTGCTTGGAGAGACACAGGGAATCTGTGCTGCATTAATGAGTCAAATTCATTCCTTCTGGGTCTCAAGCTGGCATTTGAATGATGAGACCAGCCTGCTTCCAGTGCTAATTTGTGTCAACCAGCTCCTGTTAGGATGTATGATTTCCACAGCAGGTACTAAACCCAGGAGAGGTGCTCTGTGTGTGGTTTCAGACTTCTGAAGCAGGTATTTTGCAGATGTTGGCTTTCTATGCATGGAAGAGTGCTGGCTATCTCAGCAGGAATACCTGACTTACAGAAGAGTGCTGGCTATCTCAGCAGGAATACCTGACTTACTTTAAATAAGAGTTAAATTGGGCTGGGTGCCATCTTGCATTACACCCTGACATGACCCACCTGATGTTTATAGAAGCTGATGGGGCAGGACATGACCTGATTGCATGCTGTGGTACACTGGGAGTAAACACACATGTGCTTGCAATATTTTCTTGTCTGCTAGTGATTTTACTATACAGCACTTCACCCAGAGTGTTCATATGACTAGAGGAGAAGGGCCCATTCCAGTGCACTCCTTGCATTCTTATCCACTAGAGAGAACTTCTCCATCTGTCGTGTTCATGGCTTTTGGATTATTTATGTTCAAAGAAAGGTCTCTGAAGTCTGCTCTGAGACCAATAGACCATGCTTTCAGATCAGTTTGGGATTATCAACAACAGCAGCACACCCAGATGGTTATGGGAACCCATGGGAAAAAAATTAATTTATTTTAAATTCCAGTAGTTTTTGTTTATTCCTGATTTGTCTCAGTGCTTCCAATAGTTGCTACGTTGTCAAGATCCAGTTGGAAATGAATACATGTAATGAAGCAGAAAATCATGCCAGTGGTCCAATGGGAAAGTTGCTATAGAAATCAAGAGGCAATTCCTGGCTGTGCAAGAGGTACAGGCAGTTAGGTCAGGATCTGTCAGCCTGTTCCAGGTCACCTAACACCCTCTGAAATAGCCCTGGTAAACCCAGTTCATGGTGTTATCTGCACATCATAGAGGGCTGGTGAAATCAGTGCAAGGCAGTTGAGGGTGAAGAAGAAGCTGCTGTTCAAGAGGGGAGGAGTGGTAGTGCTGTTTTAAACTAATTTAAACACTTCACCTCCTCTCTATGCAAATTCACTGCAGTTACCTGAAATCCCACAGCTGAACTTTCTCCAGTGGTAGGGCAAAATGTGCTTTGTTTTCTGTTCAGCTGGAAGCCTCAGCAGAACAGTCAGGTCTCATAAATGTGGAGACAGCATTTGAATCCTCTCCCACCTTCCCTTCCCACCAAAGTGGTGTTGAATGTTCTTGTAGGGCAGTACCACAGCTTCTTTTCCAGGCAGTGACCCTTTGTGGTGAGAAAATGTTCGACATAAGCTGCACTCTGCAATCTCCCTGGCACAGGAGCTTGAGCTTATTTTGAAATGTAAGAAATAAGTCTTGCCTTTGCCCTGTATGTTTTGACAATTTCTCTCCCAAAAGGGACTGAAGAAATCCCTCCACGGCCCTCAGATCAGAGTAGCTGTGACAATCTATTCCTTTAGCAGGCTAGAGCTGGATATGCTACTAGAAATGGAAACATATTAGTCTCTTGGACATAGTCAGTTGTATCATACTGAAGGTTTACCTGGACACATTTTGTTAAGATCTAGGACT